GGAAGGAAACACTACCTTGCTACTGCTAGGCAAATGTAGGAGTTTAGGCTCCTCACTAGTCCCTGCTGATACCACTCTGGCTGGAGAAGAAGGGAGTCTTATTATGGTTCCCCACATGGTCTCCTCTCAACCGATACCACAGTGTAGTAGACTTACTACCACAGAGTAATGGTAAAGTCCTGTATTTCTGCCAGGCCTCCTCTGACACTACTCCAGTGCTAAATGGTCATGGGAGTCCAGGTGCTTTATGTGATCTCCATTCACATCATAGGGAGTGGGGGAAGGTATCTCATTACCACAGGTGAGGATGAAAGTCTGGTTCCCCACTTGGCCTCCTTGACACAACCACATGGGGCAGGAAGAGGCTGGTTGAGGTGCCTTGTTACAGACTGGCAAAGATAGAAGTCTAGTCTTTCCACTCAGCATTTTCTGAGGTTGGGGGTGAGTCCTCAAGTTTTTGGTGGCATTTTGTGGTGAAGGGGTTATTATCTAAATTTTTTTTTGTCATTAGGCTGTTCCTTTCCAGTTCCTTTGGACAGAGAGAGCAGGCTTTTGCTGGGACCTCTTTTGACTGTACCCATTGGTGTTCTTAGGCTGTCAGCTTCTACACTACCCAATCTGGAAGACATGAGGCAAAATCAAAACCCTGATGACTTGTGGCCATGTCATTCCTCAGGTCCCAAGGTCCGTATATGGTCTGGTGTGCCTTGTTCCCTTCATGTTTCAGAGTCTTCATTTTTTGTTTTTTTTTAAGTTTTCTTTTTTATATTTTTATCTTATATCAAATCATACTTGATTAATAATGTTGCATTCGTTTCAGGTGTATAGCAAAGTGATTCAGTTATATATATACATGTAATCTATTCTTTTCCAAATTCTTCTCCCGTTTAGGTTATTACAGAATATTGAGCAGCATTCCCTGTGCTATACAGTAGGCCCTTGTCGGTTATCTATTTTAAATATAGCAGTGTGTACATGTCAATCTTAAACTCCCAATCTGCGGGCTTCCCTGGTGGCGCAGTGGTTGAGAGTCTGCCTGCTAATGCAGGGGACACAGGTCCGTGCCCTGGTCTGGGAAGATCCCACATGCTGCGGAGTAGCTGGGCCCGTGAACCATGGCCGCTGAGCCTCCGCGTCCAGAGCCTGTGCTCCGAAATGGGAGAGGCCACAACAGTGAGAGGCCCACGTACCACAAAAAAAAACCCCAAAACTCTCAATCTATCCCTCCCCCCCACCCTTCCCCCCTGGTAACCATAAGTTTGTTCTCTAAGTCTGTGAGGCTTTTTCTGTTCTGTGTTGCTTTTATATAAAATGTCTAGGGTTTTTAGGCCTTCTCAGTAGAGAAAGAAAATATGCAGATTAAAATCTATCAAATATATTAATGCATGTATATATATATATATATGTGTGTGTGTGTGTGTGTATTGTTTTTCTTTGCCAGAATGAAAAAGAAGAAATTATTGAAATGACGTTTGGAACTAGGAGTTGAGAATAAGTAAAGGGTGGAATTATTTTTCATTCTATACTTTCTGCATTGTTGGAAATTTTTACCATGTATATGTATTGCTTATATTTAAATTTTTTTAAAAAACACTTAAAGCAGTAAATACTTTTCAGTTCCTGTCCTAGATGACTTGTCTTGGGAAACAGAAACCACTGTCCACTCTTTCTTCCAAAAACTATCTCCTCTCCAGGAGTCTATGGATCCCCTATCTCCTCATTCTTATGTTACTGAACATTCTTTCTTGATTTGTTTTGTGGTCTTTTCTAATGGCCCTTAAAACATTGGCACTCCCTAGATTTCAATCTTTGGTCTAACATTTATTGTCTTGCTACAAGTATCCCTAGGCAAGACTTGCATGGTTTTAAGCACTGCCTCTATGCTATGGAAGGCCAACTTTTTTTCCTTAATCCTGTTTTATTCCCTGACCTCAGATGTCTCATAGGCATATCTATCTTAACTTGTCCCAAACTGAACTCCTGCTCTTTTTTTCAAATCTTCTTCTCCCTCAGCCTATCCACCACAGTAAATGGAAACTTCATCCTTCTAGTTGCTCTGATATAAAACCTTGAAGTTATCCCTGGCTCCTCTCTCTCTCCCACATTCCACGTGATTTGTTAGCAAGTCCTCTCAGCTCTGCCTTCAAAATTATTTAGAATCTGACCACTTTCTCACCATATCCACTGTTACCACCGTCATCCAAGGTACAAACCATTTCTTGATTGAATTATAGAAACAGGCTCTTAATTAGACTCTTTGTGTCTACCCTTGTTCCCCTACAGCTATTATCCACAAAGCATCCAGAATACTCCTATTAAATATAAGTCAAATCATGTCATTTCTCTAGTCAAAAACCTCATTCTACTCAGATAGTAAAGTCAAAATCCTTCCAATGGGTTCTAAGGCCCTATAGGATCTATTTAGCTTTCCCTCTCCATTTCCTCTCTGAACCATCTTCTTCTGTTTCCTCTTTTGATTAATCCTTCTGGCCTCCTTTTTGTACCATGAACATGATATACACATTTCTGCCTCAGGGATTTTCCACTTACCATTTCTTCAGCCTAGAATGATTTCCCCCCAGATATCTGAATTAACAATTCCTTTATTTCCTATGGGTCTCTGCTCAGAAGTCCTTCTCGATGAGGTCTTCCTGGCCACTGTATTTAAAATGTGAAAACCACTTCTCAACCCTTCCTATTCCCCTTTTCTACTTTACTGTTTGTTCATCTTAATGCTCATTACCATTTAATATATTATATATTTTAGTTATATTGATACTGTTTTTCTAAATTACATGAGGGCTGTATCCCCATGCCTAAAACAGTACCTGGCAAATGTGGATACTCAAAACATATTTTCTGAATGAATGAACCAATCAGTTAATCAATAAATGATATCTGGGCTATAGACCAAGAGTCAGAAAATTACAGCCCACAGGTCTGCTGCCAGTTTTGTCAATAAAGTTTTATTGGAAAATTCATTAGTTTATGTTATCTATGACTGCTTTCCCGATACAAAGGTGGAGTTGAGTAGTTGTGATACACATCTATGACCTGCAAAGCCTAGAATATTTATTATATGGTTCTTCAATAAAAAGTTCGCCAATCCCTGCTTTGGATTCATAGCCAACTACTTCCTAGATATTGCTCTCTGGATATATTCCAGAAATCTCAAATCCAATCTTCCCCAAACTGAGCTTTTTCTCCATCTTTCTAAAATTTTCCCATTCTGTATTTCTTATATGTATGAAGTAGAGCCGCATCCACACAGTCACCCAAATTTAACTCTATTCATCATACTACTCTAATTTGAAGCAAGGCTTTCCCAAGCCTGCAAGAACAATTTCAAACATTCCAAACTCCTTAATTAGACAAAGCCTAGTCCTTTTAGGACATGGCCACCGTCTGCCTCCAGTCACATCTCTTGCCACTCCTATTTCCATTTCATGTTCCAACAATATAAAATGGTTTGGGGTTTTAGGTCGTTGGGCCTTTGTTCATGCTGAACCATCTCCTTGAAATTTATTTTCCCTATTTCCCTTTCCTTCCCACTTTAAGTATTGACATAGGTTGTACTTCTCTGCAAGTACCCATCCTTGATAATCCCAAAGTGTCCTGTATATACCCAATAATATCACTGTACCAAAATGATTGGTAAGGCAGCACTGTATAGTGATTAAGTACTTCAACTCTGAGCCAGATACATGGATTTAAATTCTAGCTCTCTCACTAGCTAAATGGCCTTGGGCATGTAACTCACATAGCATGTGTTTATTATCATCTTCACATTTCAGTTGAAACACAATGACTATCAGAGAAGTTACATTGCTCAATGTAACACAGATAATATGGCAGAGAATGTCAATTGTTCTCCAATAACCATTCTCTCATTCTTTTAGTAAAAGAACTAAAGTCTTAGCTAGGCACATGGCTGCCCCCAAAAAAACTAAATTTCCCTGCTTTTCTTATAGCTAGATCTGACCATGAGATTAAATTCTGATAAATGGTATGTAAATAAAAGTGATATGTGTGACTTCCAGGTCATTGCCTTAAAGGAAAGGGTTATATCCTCAGCTTTCTTTCTTTCATACTTCCCAGTTGATATAATGTAGAAGATATTTGGTCATGCAGATGAAGCAGCACCTTAGGGATGACAGAACAACAACAAAGAAGTAAGCTGGGTTCTAGCCTTTCTCAAGTCACTGTATTAGGCCTGGACCACCTTGCTGAACTGTTCCAAACCAAGAAATAAATGTCTCTTGTGTTGGAGCCACTGTGGTATCTTAGCAGCCTAACCTGTATCTTACCTAATACAGCTAGTAAGTGGAAGAGCTTGGATTTGAACTGTGCATACCACCTGGACTATATCACCAGTCCCCTCCCCCTGAAGAAAAGTTTGTATTGAATTATGTTCTGCTTGGATGGCATTGGCTGCTAGAAAGCCTAGAGTCAAATGTAGGACCATCCGTAGCAAGTGTATAGGACTTGTCATTAAATATTTCTTGTCTAGCCTCATTCCTGGGTTCACTTTATATCTGTATCATGATTTTTCATTTGATCTAATTACAATGTACACTACCTCATATTTTACATACAATATAAATATAACACCTTAAATTCTTTAGAATGTTATGGGGTTTTAATAAGTATTGCTTTCTTTATGGTTTAATTGTACATATACCACTTTTATACCTATCATTTTCCTTTGTTTACATGGTTGTCTCCATATTATACTATTAACTCCTTAAAGGCATGTACAATGATAATTTTTCTTCTATACCATCTTGCATGGGGTCTGATAATAAAATACTTTCATGCTCAAGAAATGTTTGCTGAACGAATGAATTTCACAGGGTCAGAAATGCTATTAAATGTCATTGTGTCATATGGAATTTCCTTCCATTATAACTTGAGCCAGAGAGAAGACACAACTCTAAAAATTGGCTAGGGGAAAGTATCATATGGTTGGAGGAGTGATGGTGAAGATAGGAAATACATACCTTGACAAAGTGCTCAATTAGGATTTCCACCACAATGTTCTGGAATTTGATGTTCATCATGGCAGCCACAGTGTCCTCCTGAGCTCTCATGAGAGTGGGCCCAAAGATCACCCCCATGTTAGAGGGGGTCATAAGATTCTCTTTGCTGTGCTCACACACACTGCCAGAAGAGAAAGAAAATGATTAACAAGATTTTCTCCAAGACCCCATTGTAACCAAGACTGTTAGATGCTTTAGGGGGCAAGAGAAACTAAAAAGTAGAAGAAAAGGTGAGGCCCAAAATATATATGGGAAGAAAAGATTACAAAGGAAGCAACTAGCAAAGAATACAAGATAGCATATAATTAGGGGCCAAACTGAGCCATAGCTAACTTAGTTTGTAGCACTGTAGAAGTCATGAGAAGAGGGGCGGATGGCTATAGTATTTGGAAAGACAGGAGGGAAGAAAGAAGGTATTCCAGGGCAAGAGGTACAGCATGTATAAAGCATATGTAAAGAAGAACAAAGCACATAGAGAAAGTGCCTACCAGTCTCACCAGTCAGGAATCTAGTCTCTTCTCCAGCCCTAGCTAGAGAAGCAAAAACCTCAAAGAGCCAAAAGACATTCTTAAGATTAGCACTTATCATTGTCCTCACATTACAGATGAGAAAACAGAGGTCCAAAGAAGGAAAGAGATTTGCTGAAGCCACAGTCAGTTAGCCTGATTAGCGAAGGGCCTCTAATCCCAAATTTTCTGGTCCCTAGTCACTTTCCTTACTTAAATTACCTTAAGTGGCTTCCTGTCACTTATAGGACACTGCCAATTCTCTTCAAAGTAGCAATTAAAGTCTTCAGTAACTTGACACATATTTCCAATCCCAATGCACAGCTTGGGCTCTGAAGCTGACCTGGGTTTGAATCCCAACTCTGCCACCCATTAGCCGTGCAACAGTGAATGTTGCTGACCTAACTTCTCTGGGCTTCAGTTTTCCCACTTGCAAAAATAGTATCCACCTCAGACGGTTGTGAAATAAATAGAGCTAAATTGCTTTAGCATGGTATCCTGGAAATATTCCATTAGAAGTATCTGCTGTTATAATGACCTCTCCAGGAGCCTCCATCTAGGCACTGCTGATGTCTGACACTCTTATATACTACACTGTTTAGATGAAGTTTTCTGGCTATATCATGCTGTTTCAGATCTCCGTATCTTTGCTCATACCATTCCCTCTGTTTAGAATGTCTCCATCCTCCTAGATCCAAAGAATGTCTATCCTTTGAGATTCACTTTAGGTGACATCTCCTTCAGGGTCTCACAGCCCACTGTCCTCATCGTGATTGACACCACTGGCAAGTCGAATATATTGCAATTTTCTGTTTCTTATCTGCCTTTCCTACTAGGTGGTAAACAACTTCCAAGTGTGTGTGCCTCACACAGAGCAGATACTAATTAATTATTTTTAATAGAACTGAGAGCCTCTAGCACTCTTTCATGTAGTACTGGAGGCAGCTAAGTAAAAGGTGTACAGCGCTTTGGTCAGTTTGGCTGTGGGAGCGGGGAGATAAGGGAATGGAACAGCCCGCCACAAACACTAATTTTCAAAACCTGCTCAGGTCAAGTCCCTTGAGAGACTGACCCCATTAATAGGCAGGCTCCTGTCACTAACAAGGTAATTGACAGGGACAGAATCCTTAGACAAATCCTAATGAAGTCTGTTAAGCCCATGACAAAGGCTGGGTGCCATTCAGATGATAATGAACAGCAACTATTCACAGGCCTTTGGTATTGCTGGACTGGTGATGGATCCCTTTTAACAGTTTAAATACTTCTGCAATTAACCCTTATTCTTTAGTGACAGAATATTTCAGATGTTAAAATGGAAAAGCAACTCCATGCTGCCACCGAGATCCAGAATGGCTAAACCACTAGTAACAAGGCAAGGACACTTGTGAGACAACAGCCTACAGCATGTGTAAATGCTTATCTCCTTTTTTCAGCTTTGAAAGAAAGTGACTTTGGTTGAACATGCCAGAGCTCACTTAATCCACATAACTCCAAAAGGCAGAGTATATTATCTCTGAAGCCTAGTTTCACAGAGGGTAAAGAACTTAGTTAAAGTCAAACAGTTTGTGAATACATGGCAATACAGGGATTCAAACCCATATCTGTCGGGCTCCAAGTCTTACAGTCATCCCATTGCATCCCACTGCCTGCTTGTCTAGTTCCTGTCAAGAAATCAGCCCCTATGGGGGCCCCTTTAGGCTAAAGCCACCTTCTATTTCTCTGATGGAGGTTCGAGGCATTCCATTTAGGACACTCTTTTCATTCTTAGTCTTCTTATGAGATTTGAAAGGTAATCTATTCTTTGGGGATGTTTCTTTCCATTTGACATCTCTCCTTTTATTATACATTTTGAAAATCATTAAGAGGCATAATTGTGGGTTAATAAGAAGAATGAAACCAAAAATAAGGGCATCATGAGTAGTTAATTAGGTGGGAGTTTGTAATATGATTTGGAAGCAAAGAAATCTTAAATTCTTTAGTCCACTTAGACTAAAGAAAATAGATACAACTTCTTTTTTTAACATCTTTATTGGAATATAATTGCTTTACAATGGTGTGTTAGTTTCTGCTTTATAACAAAGTGAATCAGCTATACATATACATATATCCCCATATCCCCTCCCTCTTGCATCTCCCTCCCAGCCTCCCTATCTCACCCCTCTAGGTGGTCACAAAGCACTGAGCTGATCTCCCTGTGCTATGCATCTCCTTCCCACTAGCTATCTATTTTATATTTGGTAGTATATATAAGTCCATGCCACTCTCTCACTTCATCCCAGCTTACCCTTCCCCCTCCCCATGTCCTCAATGGATACAACTTCTTGAACATCAAAATTTAAATCAGAGAAACAGGTATTAGAGAGAGGTTATAAAAAGCCTCCAGTTTAGGAAAAAATAATTTTGATTAGATGGTTTAGATCAGAGGTCATAAATTAAAATGCCTATAAAAAGAGAACTACCTTATGATCTAGCAATCCCAATTCTAGGTATATATTCAAAGGAAATGAAATCAGTATCTCAAAGAGAATATCTGTACTCCCATACTCATTGCAGCATTAGTCACAATAGCCTAAGTATCCTTAGATGGACAAACAGATAAACATATACACACAATGAAATATCAGTAAGCTTTAAAAAAGATGGAAATCCTGCCTTTTGCAACAACATGGATGAACTTGGAGGACATTATGTTAAGTGAAATAAGCCAGACACAGAGTAGAATGGTAGTTGCCAGGGGCTGGGAGAGGGGAAAATGGGGGAGATGTTGGTCAAGAGGTACAAATTTTCAGTTACATAAGATGAGTAAGTTTTAGAGATCTAATATATAGCAATATGAATATAGTTAACAATACTGTATTTTGTGCTTGAAATTTGCTAAGAGGGTAGATCTTAAGTGTTCTTCATAGAAAGAAAGAAAGAAGGAAGGAAGGAAGGAAGGAAAGAAAGAAAGGAAAGAAAGAAAGAAAGAAAGAAAGAAAGAAAGAAAGAAAGAAGGGAAGGAGGGAGGGAGGGGAGAAAGGAAGTAAGGAAGGAAGGGAGAAAATGGTAACTATATTAGGTGATAGATATAGTAATTAGCTATATTGTGACAATTATTTCACAACATATACATATACCAAACATCATTATGGTATATAAGTAATATACCATAAATATATACAATTTTTATTTGTCAATTATACCTCAAGAAATATGAACAAATAAAAATAAAAACTGAATAAGTTCATTAAACTGGTTTCATCACTAACAGGTTGTATGACTTTGGGCCTATCTTTTTCCCTCCCTAGATATCTGTTCCCTCACCTATAAAATGAGGTGGTTATTGGGTAATCTAAAGAGCCTTTCAGCTCTGCCATTCAGTGACTCTAAGAAAGTCCTTCCCTTGAAAATAATGGAAAAAAGAAACAGTCACACATTACATGTCTACTGTTGGAAGAACATAGAACCATTTATTAAGTATGTCTGCCCTCCCCACTGTAAAGACCACCCCCTCAATACCCAAAATAACCAAAAAAACCCACCCCAAATCCCCAAAAAACAAATAAAAAAAAAGAACTTGAATCAGAGCAAGCCTCTTGATTCAAAATATGGGAAACTTTAAAGGACAAATGACCTGTTTTCTTTAACAAATAAATTATAAGAAACAAGAAAGAGATGAAGAAGAAACTTACAGATTGGGAACATGGTAAAAACACAGAGGCCCTATCCTATCAAACTTTGGCCTCTGTGTTCTTTATTAGCCCTCCAAGTGATTCTGATACACACAAAAGATTGAGAACTACTGCTATAGATAAGGGATCACCAAACTATGGCCCTTGGGCCAAATCCAACCTGTTTTTGTAGATAAAGTTTTATTGGAGTATTGTTATGCTTATTCATTCACATATTATCAATGGCTGTTTTTGTATTATAAAGGTAGAACTAAGTAGCTGCAACAGAGTCCATATAGCTCACAAAGACTTCAATATGTATTATCTAATCCTTTCTTGAAAACAATTGCTGACCTCTGCTAGAGATTAAAAGACTTAAAAAACATCTGAAAAGATTCCTATGTGTGGACATTATTTGGGTCCTTATTAAAAAAAATATATATATATATATATGACATATTTGAGACTACTGGAAAATTGAACACAGAATATTTAATGATATTAAGTAATTATTAACAGTTTGTTTTCAGATGTGATAATTATATTGTGTTTATATGTACAAAGAATTTTCATTTTTCAATATACATACTGAAATATTTATGGATAAAATAATGTCTTAGATTTGCTTCACAATAATATAAGAGGAGGGGAAATGAATAGGGATATAGATGAAACAAGATTTGCTATGTGTTGAAAATTTTTGAAGCTGGGTTATAGGCACATGAGAGTTCCTTACAGGCACATGAGAGTTCCTTATACTATTCCTTCAGACTCAGGATGCCACAAGGATTTAAAAAGTCCCCCACCCTCCTCAACAAGATTTTGGCTAAAGATTTAAGAGGATTATACCTGGATCAAGGTTGAGTAGAGGTCTTTCCAGCCAGAACAGAAAAAAGCATCTGAAGTGACAAAAACCCTTCTTAAGGACATTATTCCTAGGTACGGCCTTCCCTCTACTATTCAGA